AGGCGCTCACTCCTGAGCCCAGGGCATGTGGGGTGGCAGCAGCATCGGTTTTGGGGCACAGCCCCTGCTCCCCGCAGCGGGGCCAGCGTCGCTCCCAGCACCACCCTGACCTCTCTCCCTCGCAGACGGCAGCGCGATATTTCGGGGGTGCTTCCGCCGGCCGGACAACGTCTCCATCGCCCTCCCTGCCAGCCGGCTCATGCTGAACATGTCGGTGGACAAGTGCGTGGACTTCTGCACCGAGAAGGTACCGGGGGTGTTAATCATCCAAATCCTCATCGTCGGGAAGGGTCATAGAATCACATAATCATAGAATGGTTAGGGCTGGAAGGGACCTTCAAAGGGCATCTAGTCCACCCCCCTGCAAGGAACAGGGATATCTCCAACTAGATCAGGTTGCTCAGGGCCTCGTCCAACCTGGCCTTGAACATCTCCAGGGATGGAGCATCCACCACCTCTCTGGGCAACCTGTTCCAGTGTTCTACAACTCTCACGAGTCATACTGGGTCAATTTTAATCCGATTTGGTGTCGTAATTATGTGTATCCAAACTACAAAGTTTTGACTGTGCGGGTCTCCGTCGTGGGGAGGGAGCAGAGGATGGTGGGAATAAACCATTGCACCGGTTAAACACGAGTGGCTGCTCCGTCCCTGGCTCCACTTTGCCATCACTGCCCGCAGAACTGGGGCCAGGAGGTGTAAATAACTGGAGCCCCTCGGTTAACCTGGCACTGCCGCAGCCCGGCAGTAAATCACCTGTTGAACAGACTTGGAAACACCGGGCTTGGAAATGCCATCTGGGCCATCCGTGGGCTCTGGTAACCTCGGTGCGGGTGCCAAACTCACAAATGTCATGCCATGGCTCTGCCAGCAGCACTGGTGCCCGGTGTGTTGCTGCCTGTGCCAGCAAGCAGCTCGGCTGTGCCACGGGAAGGTCGGGGCTCTGGTGGTTTTGGGTGTCTGCAACGACCTGCTTGGGTGGGGGGATGCTGCAAACCACGCCGTGCCACACAGTGGGGCCATGGCGGTGAGGATGGGTACGGGGGGCAGAGGAAGAGTCTGCCATGGGGTATGGGGACAGAGACACCACCTGCCCTCCCGCCGCCCGTCCCCGCAGGAATACCCACTGTCGGCGCTGGCCGGGACCGTCTGCCGCTGTGGTTTCCCCACCACGCTCTTCACCCTGCACGAGCGCGAGGACGAGCAGCTCTGTGCCCAGAAATGCGCCGGCGAGGAGTTCGAGAGCTGCGGCACCGCCGAGTACCTCCTCGTCTACCAGACCCAAGTGCAAGGTGAGCCGGTGCCAGGCTGCCCGTGCCTGCTGCCGGGCGGGGGGCTGGAGGGACCGCTCCGGCACGGGGGCCGGCACCATTTCCCAACCCCTTCCTGGCGACGCCGGCAGAAAGCGAGCGTGAGCTTGCGGCATCTCTTTGGCTTTCATTAACAAGTACCATTTATTTTGGTAATAAGGCTCTTCACCGGTGCTTGGCACTCCTTGTCACTGGCAGTACTGGTGAGCTGGAGCTTTGCCAGTCCCGGTGGGGACAGGCTCCAGGGAAAAATATGGGGTGCGCCATAAGGCAGCGGGATATCTCGGGGGTAAGGCACGGATCTGTGCCACTGCCCTGACGTGCCGCGGCCGGTTCTCGCTGCAGACAACCGCTGCATGGACAGGAGGTTTCTCCCCAGCCGTGCCAAGCAGCTGGTAGCCCTGGCCAGCTTCCCCGGCGCCGGCAACACGTGGGCACGGCACCTGATCGAGCTGGCCACCGGCTTCTACACCGGCAGCTACTACTTCGACGGGTCTCTCTACAACAAAGGTGAGAGGGGAGTTCGCTGCCAGGGGTGCCACGGTCCCACCGGAGCTGGGAGAAGGTGCCGGTGCCATCACTTGGGTCTGCTGGAAGGGGAGGGCAGAGCCGGGTGGCACCGATGCTGCTCCGGGGGATAGTTTGGGCTGGATGTGTCCCAGTTCGAGGGGTATCGGAGGGACCTGACGTCATGTGTGCCCCACCTGTACCCTCCCCACTGACCTCGGCAAGGACCCATTTGGGGCAGAACTGGGGTTTCTCCATCATGCTGGTGGTTTTTAACCCACTGTGGGATTTGGAATTTTCTAGAGGAGGAATTCAGGGTGACTCTGATCCTGGCAAACCAGGCAATTCCTGCATTTTTTGCCCCAAGGAAAGGACGATGGGGTTTTTCCATCAGCTTTCCCCAGAAGCTGGTGCTGGGCTCAGCACCCTCGTCCTGGGAAGCATAAAGTGAGAAGCAAAAAGAAAAGTGGTGGCTGAGTGGTGGGGACTCATGCAGCCTTCCAGCTGGCAGGCACGAAGCTTTTTCAGGCCAAAGGCAGCTCCTCCCAGTAACCCACCGTGTGGCAAAGGGGGAGGCAAAGACCAGTTCCCCCATTTTATAGCCATTTACGGTAGTTTTATTCATAGACCTCGAAGGTTTCTCCTGCTTTTTCTTCCTCTTTTGTGGCTCTGAGTGGAAATCCTCCTTCCCTCCTCACCGTGGCAGAACTGGGGTCTATGCCTGGGGTACCCACACGGCTGATGGGTTCTGTGCCTGGGGTACCCATGTAGCTGGTGGGGTCTGTGCCTGGGGTACCCATGTGGCTGGTGGGGTCTGTACCCAGGGTACTGGCATGGCCGAGCTCGGTACCCGGGGTACCCCCTAAATCGCTGCGCACGTTTCTTTGAGATTTGCCAAATTCAGCCATTCAGAAATGGAGCTGCCCTGCACCAAGGGAGGGAGCCCAGACTGTACCAGCCTCTGGCGCTGGCCCCCCCAGTGCAGCCAGCATCACGGTGCCCACGGATGGAGCATCCCCCCAGCGAAAGCCCTGGCGAAGTTTTGCTGAGCCACCTGAGCACCGGTTTGGTGTCTATTATGGGCTGAGTGCGTCGGAGGGCCCGGGGGTATCCAGGCAACTGGCAGATTAGCCGGGGCAACCCTGG